GTGATCCTGTGACCAGGTGACCAGGTGATCCTGTGACCAGGTGACCCTGTGACCAGGTGATCCTGTGACCAAGTGATCCTGTGACCAAGTGATCCTGTGACCAGGTGACCAGGTGATCCTGTGACCAGGTGATCCTGTGACCAAGTGATCCTGTGACCAGGTGATCCTGTGACCAAGTGATCCTGTGACCAGGTGACCAGGTGATCCTGTGACCAGGTGACCCTGTGACCAGGTGACCAGGAGATCCTGTGACTAAGTGACCCTGTGACCAAGTGACCCTGTGACCAGGTGACCCTGTGACCATGTGACCAGGTGACCAGGTGATCCTGTGACCAGGTGATCCTGTGACCAGGTGATCCTGTGACCAGGTGACCCTGTGACCAGGTGACCCTGTGACCAGGTGATCCTGTGACCAGGTGATCCTGTGACCAGGTGATCCTGTGACCAGGTGACCCTGTGACCAGGTGATCCTGTGACCAGGTGATCCTGTGACCAAGTGATCCTGTGACCAAGTGACCCTGTGACCAAGTGATCCTGTGACCAGGTGACCCTGTGACCAGGTGATCCTGTGACCAAGTGATGTTAGTGTCAGCAGGTCAGCTGTTTGTCCTGACGTGTCTCTTGTGTTCTTTTCCCTGCTGTGACCTCTGATGACCTCTGACCCCACGATGATCTCTGACCCCACGGTGACCTCTGACCCCACGGTGACCTCTGGTGACCTCTGACCCCACGGTGACCTCTGGTGACCTCTGACCCCACGGTGACCTCTGATGACCTCTGACCCCACGGTGACCTCTGATGACCTCTGACCCCACGGTGACCTTGGTCCCTGACAGACGGCCGACATCCACAAGGTTTACCTGAGCTCCTTGCTCCTGGTCTACCTGCTGCAGTTTCAGAACCCGTCGCTGCTCAGCTGCCCTCTGCTCTGCCTCCTGATTGGCTCGCTGCTCGCGAGGTACTTCCAGGTAGAGTTCGAGCCCCGCCCCCAGCTCAGCACCTGTGAACGAGCGGCAGGTTTGAACATGTTTGTGTTCCAGAGGAGGATGAAGATGGGTCGTCTGCTGGCCCGGCTCATGAAGCTCTTCCTGCACTTCTACCTGGTGTTCACCTGCGGACTCACCTGTACTTACCTGCTGAAGGTGAGCTCAGGTAAGAGCAGCTGCTGAYCTTTGACTCCAGCTGACAGGTGTTCTCCTCCTCAGAAGCTCTCAGCTTCAGCTGACGACGACGTCCTGCTGAAGCTCCTGCAGGTGAAGTTTGGACTGAACTCCACCAGGTGAGCAGAACCTTCAGCCGGCAGGTGACCCGGTTCCTTTGAACCCAAATGAATCCTTTGATGTCTTCCTGCTTCAGTGACTTTGTGACGAACTTCCTGCTGTGTCAGGACGGGCTGCAGACACCGGGTCAGAACCTGTTCCTGAGGCTGACCCAGACCTCCGTCCTGCCCTTCTACGTCCTGGTTCTGACCGTCTGCCTGCTGTCGGCCCTGCAGGCCGTCTACAGGAGGCTCAGGTGAGGCGCTGCAGCTCTCACTTCCTGTTATATCACAGCTTCTGGTTCTGATGGTTCTGATGGTTCTGATGGTTCTGTTGGTTCTGATGGTTCTGATGGTTCTGTCTCCTCAGCGGTCAGCCGGTCGGCGCCGGCCTCAGGCTGGAGGACGGGCGGGTCGGGGAGCAGCCGGCGGTGGTTTATCACGTCCTGCACACGCTGCTCTTTGGTTTCCTCACTCTTCTGTTTGACGGGTCAGTTCTGCAGAACCCGGCCCGGTTCTGGAGGTTCTGATCAAGGTTGTAATCAGGTTGTGTCCTGCAGGGTGAAGTACGTTTGGACCCCGTATGTGTGCGTGTTCACGGCGTTCGGCGTGTGTTCTCCTGACCTCTGGATGACGGTCTTCAGGTGGCTCCGGCTGAAGTCGGTCCATCCTGTGGTTCTGGTCCGTTTGGTCCTGCAGGTTCTGGACCGGTGCTTTGGTTCTTTAGTAACTGATGAATCTTTGTCGTTACAGTCTCTGATTCTGAGCACAGCGGTTCCCACCATCATTGGTTTCAGTCTGTGGAGAGAGGTGAGCCCGGTTCTAAAGCTCGGCTCGGGTCGGGTCGGGTCGGGTCAGAACCTCTGCTCCTACAGCTGTGCTCCTCTCTCCTGTCTTACAGTTCTACCCTCGGGTCTTGGCGGAGCTGGCGGACCTGCAGGGGTTCTACGAGCCGGACACAGTGGAGCTGATCAACTGGATCAGGTCTGGTTTCTGTGGGTCTCATGAGGGCTGGTGTTCTGGTTCTGGTTCTGACTCTGGTTCTCCTGCAGGTCCCAGAGTCCAGCTGTGGCTCCAGCTGTGGCTGTGTTTGCTGGCAGCCCTCAGCTGCTGGGAACATTAAAACTGTGTTCTGGTTCTGTGGTGACCAGTTTACCTGTTTACTCTGACCTGCAGCTGCTGAGGAGGGCTGAGCAGGTGAGGTCCAGACCGGTTCTGTTCAGGTTCTGTTAACGTTCTGCTCACGTTCTCCTCTCCCTGCCTCAGAGCCTGCAGGTGTACTCCCTGAGGTCAGCGGAGGAGGTCTACAAGCGTCTGTCGGCTCAGAGGAGCAGCTTTGTGATCGTGGAGGAGTCGGTGTGCAACGAGCTGACCCTCAGGAGGAACTGCAGGATCAAAGACCTGCTGGACGTCTCCAACCAACACGTCAGTCTGTGACAGAGACACCTCACTCACTCATGTCCACCTGACTTATTTAACTCTGCGTGTCCTTCAGGTGGTCTACGACAGAGGACAGAAGCTGTCCTCCTCCAAACACGGACGCTTCTGTCAGGAGATCAAGAGGAACTACTCTCCGTACACCAACTACTTCACCCGGGTCTTCTGGAACCGCTCCTACCACGTCTACAGAGTCAACTCTGTCATCTCCTTCCAGTACTGAGAGTCCACAGAGACCCGGTTCACAGAGAGACCCGGTCCACAGAGAGCTCCGGTCCACAGAGAGCTCCGGTCCACAGAGAGACCCGGTCCACAGAGGACTGGGTCTCTGGTGTCCTGCAGATCTGCAGGTTTTTAAAGGGTCCAGAAACATGAAGGATCCTGGGTTTGACCCCAAACCAGGCTGTTAGATTTTACTGTTAATAAAAACACATTCAAACATTTACAGGTAAACTTTCAAAGTAAAGGTCCGAGATATTATTCTGATAATTAGTTTTTATCTGAGCTTTAACTTCTTTTATTTCTGTTACTGATGCAAAGTGAAACTCAGCTGAGCCTCCAGGTTTATCTTTAAATCACTAACAAGTTTATTAACTTAGTAGTTTTTTTATTTTTCTGTCCTCATATTATGATTAAATGTTTGAAACACTCCTAAAATGATCAGGAAGAGAAACTGTTGTAAAGAATTAAAAACAAACCAATAATAAAATGAATTGATTATTTTAACGATGGTTGAAAAATAAAAAATCAATTCATTTTATTATTTATTATTTTGCTCTCAGAATCCTGAAATGTGTTTATTTTATTTCCTTTAATGTATAAAATATTTGCTGCCTCAGTTTAGTTTCCTCAGATTGAGACGTTCAGATGTCAACAGATGAACCTGATTCAGTTTTACTGAATAAACTCAAAGATGACAGTTCATCACTGCAATTATTTGATTTTTAATGTTTCCTCTTTTTATTTCCAACATGTCAGCCTAAATTTAAAACCTTTACTTTTAAATTTAACAAAATTAAATTTAGGTATCAGTGGCTTCTCTATAAATAAAAATAAAAAACTGACATTTAAACAATTTATTCAGATCTTTTGAGAATTGTCAGCATTTTAAAACCCCTATTTAAATGTTATATTAACCTGCAGCATTTATTCAAACGACAGAACAGGAAGCTGGATCTTATCAAAATAAGAGCCCATGTAGAGCTGGATCTTATCAAAATAAGAGCGTGTGGAGCTGCAGAGTCTCTTAGACCAGCAGAAACCATAAATCTCTCTGAACGAGTACAAAAATAAATAAGCTCAACATCAAATAAACTTTAAACGACAAAAACAAGACAAACGGTTTAATTTAGTTAAACTTTCATTAATGCAAAAAACAAAACATTTCATTCAAACATTTGTTTCCTGTTTAGTATGAAACAAACTACAAGTTTAAATAAATTCTTATTTTATCAACAAAAACATTTAGATTCAAACCCTGAAGTGACCTTTCCGGCCTCCGTGTCTCCATGGCAACGACCCGGAAGCGGAAGCAGCGATGCCGAAGCGCAGCAGAAAGAAGAAGAATGTGAGAATCAGTGTTCGGCTGCTGCAGCTCGGTTCTTTCAGAGGTTTTGGGCTCGGTTGGTTCTGTTTGTCCTCTGCTGGTTGTTGAGCCGTGTGAAGGTAAGACAGGCCGCCGCTGCTGGAGCGGAACAGCCGGGAGAGTCGAGCTAACTGTGGCTTAACCGAGCGCTAAACACCGCTGTCTGTGTTAGCACAGCTAGCTTAGCATCATCAGCCCCGTTTGTTCTGACATATTTAATGAAACTGTTCTTATTCACTTCACTTCCCTTATTCATTKAAATTGTTTAAATAAAGACTTTAAATATTAACCTGTTTTTACAAAGTCAGCACATTTMGATACAACAAATAAAGATCAGCTGTGATTTCTGCTGCTTTTATTTCTGATGGGAGAAAAATAAAGGTTAATAAAGATTATAATTAGTCAGCACAGAGACTCAAAGTGTTGTTTAGATAAATAAACAGCCTGGTGTTCAGAGGTTCACTTCTTCTCAGGGTATTAGTTTTGGTTCAGTCTTCCTCCAGAATCATAAAGGACTTGGATCAGTTTATAACCCAACCTGAGACCCGGTTCTGCAGAACTGTTGTCTCACAGCACCGTCCTGTCCCTCTCTGTCCTTCAGGGGACGATGGGTTCTGAAGCAGCGGACCGGGTGGCCTCTGCGACCCGGCCCGGCACACCTCCTCAGATCTCCTGGTTCGAGTTCCTCCTGGACGGCAGCCTGCTGGAGGAACACCTGCAGAAAACCAGCCCGGGTCAGTACTCCTCTGGGTTCTGATGGTGAAAATCTGTTTGGATCTTGGTGCCGTGACAGCTCGTGTCCCCCCCACAGACCCAAGTCCAGTCCAGCTGATAGTCCAGTTCCTGGAGCAGGCCTCCAAACCGTCTGTGAACGAGCAGAACCAGGTTCAGCCGCCCGTGGACAACCGCAGGAACCGGACCCTGAAGCTGCTGGCGCTGAAGGTAGCGGCTCACATGAGGTGGGATCTGGACCTCCTGGAGAAAGGGTGAGTGGTGACCTCACAGAGGGCTTTTATTTTTTATTTTTAATGTTAGAGCGTGAAGCTCAGTCCAGACAGGTTCTAATGAGTGTGAAGGTCTCACAGCCTCACAGTGTTCAGGTTTTATCAGTGGGGGGTGGCAGGGAGGGGCCATGTGGACTAAAATATTTATCTCCATAACGATAAGTGACAATTAAAAAAACTATATTTGTGACACTTCAACAATTCATAAATCAAAACATTCAGCTCTTTCAGGCCATGTCTGCTATGACTTTTAGTATTTCAGCTATTTATACTTTTTTTTAGCTCTTTCACTTTTTTAGCCACATTTTTTGCCATTAAAAATCAGTGGARCTGTTTTTAAAATCCTTAAATCCTTCAAATAGTTTCTAAATCTTTACAAAACCTTACACAGTTTGTTCTGCTTCTGCTCTTTTTTACTCCCTTGTGCAAATTTTAGCTACCTTTTTTTTTTTTGCAAATTTTAGATTTTTTTCTGCTATTTCAGCTAAAATTCTGCTTTTTTCTGCTATTCTTCAGCTTTTTTTTAGCTTTTTTCTGCTACTTTGTGTTATTTAAGCTTCCTACAGGTTTCTGCTATATTCAGCTAACTGCTGCACTTTTAGCTAAGGTTCAGCTGGTGTTGGCTAAAGTTAGTTTTTTTAAGCTAAATACATATTTTTGTAGCTATTACAACTTATTTCAGCTAAATTCATCAAACTTCTGCTCCTTATGCATCCTTATGCTAATTAAAACATTTCCAGCTACGTTTTAGCTGTTTTACTGAAAACTTTGACTGTTTTAGCTGTTTTACTACAAATGATCAATTTTTAGCAGTTTTATGGGTTTTCTTCTGCTAGTTTAGAAATTTTTACAACCATTTCACCATCTGGCTGCTACTTCCAACTTAAGGCTGCTAGCTTTAGTTTATTTTTATGCTAATTTTAGCTGTTGTGCTGCTATATTAGCTAAATTTCTTCTTTCTTCTGCCCTTTTTTTACTTTTTTGTGATTCTTTCTGCTATTTGAGGTATTCATTCTTCTTACAGTTGCTTTCTGCTTTAATTGGGTATTTTAGCTTTTAGATTTTTTATGATTTCAGCTATATTTTTGCTCCTTTTTAACGTTTTTCTGCCTTTTTTTATTCTTTCAGTTGTTTTAGTTTAACTTACAATGACACTTTTGCTGTTAAACATTTTCAGCTGAATTTCAGCAGCAGACTTTCACACTAGCATCATCACAGGAAATGTAATTTCTGTAGTTCTTGGTTCTGATCCTSTGAGAGGAAGACTTCCCGTAGAACTCAGAGTCTGGCAACAAATCCTTCCTGTTTCAGTCTGACCACCCCGGTGCTGAACATGCTGCTGAACGAGCTGCTGTGTGTCAGCAAAGTGCCGGCAGGAGTCAAACACGTGGACCTGGACCTGTCCACCCTGCCCCCCACCACCGCCATGGCCGTCATCATCTACAACCGCTGGTGAGCAGCTGGAACAGAGGCCGAGGTGTCTGTGTGTGCAGGAGCTAACCCTGACTCTGAGCTGTGCTTGTGCTGCAGGGCCATCAGAACCATCGTGCTGAGCAGCTTCCCAGAGAAACAGAACAAACCTGGACCTCATCAGATGAACATGTAAACCAGCTTTCTTCACATGTCCTCAGTGAATCTGTCTTTTTACAACACTTCACTTCCTGTCTTGTGTTCAGGTTAAACACTTCACTTCCTGTCTTGTGTTCAGGTTAAA